CCGCCTTATCATTAGTCAACAAGCGTGTCATTAAAATCAGCAATGTGCTATGAAAAATCACTCGACATAGTTTGTAGCTAGAGAAATTGAGTAGAGTGCGGATCAAAGAACAGAGCGCCCTCATCTCTTTTTCCCCAAACCCTAAAAATTCGTAGCTTTTTACCCTTTTATTTTTAATTTAATTTATTTTTGAAAAAATTGTAGCCACAGTACCAAAACTTTCACTTTTATACATATTTGATCCAAATCTTTATTTTGTTGCATCCACAATACCAAACCTTGTAAAAACCACCATCTAAAGTTCAAATGGATGAAAACTTTTAGTTAGACATTTAGTTGAGTAGATAATTAACCTTGACAATAATTTTGACTAATTTTAAAAGGTTGAAATGGTAACTTTACATTTTATAATAAAAAAACTAAAATCAAAAACAAAAAATCAAATTTCTTCTTCTTCTCAATCCACCCCACTCATACCCACCCCCACCACCACTACCAAACGGCTCCACCGTACCCACCCAACGCCGACGTCATCGCCATCTCCTCCACCTCCATCACATCGTTCTACACAACCAAGTTCTAGGAGTATAAGTTCTCATAGAATCTAATTTCATCTCTACACAACCCAATTCTAGGTATGTAAATTCTCATAGAATCGCCAATTTTCCTTGCCACTTTGCTATCTTCTTGACCTCTCGAGCTAGATAGTATTAATGGTTTTCTTTTTCCAATATGAACTACCCTTTGCACAGATCGACGAGTTCTCCATCTTTATTGATTTAAACTATACTTTGTTGATATAAATAGCATGAGAGTGTGCAATGTAAGTTTCCCTAATTCTTAGCATTTACTTCTAGGGGGATGTATCTTGAAAATACTTTTTCCTATGGGACATCCTGCAAGGACATTTATATAGGTAGTGAATGTGTTCTTAAATTATTTTCACGAGCTTTCATTATTAAAATTGTTGAAGTTAAATCCATTGCCCATCAAAAATTTAGAATCAAGAATTTGTGAAAAAGATGAAGAGAAGGTTGTGGACGGAAGGGTGTGGGTTTTGGATTTGAGATGGAGATGTGGTGGTGGTGTGACGAAGGTGGAGGATATGGCGGTAGCGTCTGAGGTGGCATCGTCGTTGAGTGGGTTCGATGAAGCCGTCTAGTAGAGGTGGTGGGGGTTTTGGGATGAAGCCACCGGGGCTTTCGAAGAGGTTTTGGGTAGAAGCGGTGAACATGGCATATTATGTCAAAAAAGATCACTACAAACAGCACTAGATGAGAAAATTGCAAAGGAAGTTTTGAAAAGTAATGAAGTTGATTATTTTGGATTGAGAGTATTTAGGTAACTGACATATGTGATTGTATCTAGTGATCAGAGATCCAAGCTTGATCGAAATTTAAAAAAAAAGTGCATTTTTTTAGGCTATGTAAAAGGTGTAAAAAGGTACAAGTTTTGGGATCCAAAGGTGAAGAAGATGGTGATAAGTAGGGATACAATCTTTGATGAAGCAACCATACTTAAAACTTCTCCAGATTGAGAGAAGCTTAGTTCATGCAAGAACTGCAGCAAGAACCAAGTGGTGCAGGTAGAGCTAGACAATGTTGACATTGAGACTAACGCTCAAAGAGTGGACAATTCTAGCTCAGAAAGGGAGAGCAATATCATAGTATTGTCATAGATACACCATGTCGCATTATCAGGCCACTAATGAAGTATGTATTCGATGATTCAGTTTTTTATGCACTCATTTCCAACAATAATGATCCTATAACTTTTTAGGATGCCATTAGTAGTCAGGAAAAAAGTAAATGGATAGAGTCTATGATGGAGGAAATTGAGTCATTGCAAAAAAATAATACTTGGAATTTGATAGAGCCTCCAGAGGAAAAGAAACCAATAGGGTGTAAGTGGGTGTACAGAAAGAAAGAAATAATGTCAGAAAAGAAAAAGGAAAGATATAAGGCTCGGTTAGTAGCAAAGGGATACTCACAAAGGAAGGAATAGATTATGATGAAATTCTCTTTGATCGTCAGCCATACTTCTGTCAGGATTGTCTTAGCAATGGTGGCCAGTTTTGATTTCGATTTAGAGCAGCTAGATGTGAAGATGCTTTCCTTCATAGTAATTTGGAGGAGCAAATTTTCATGGAAAGCTAGAGGGGTTCTTGGAACCCAGAATAGAGAATTTTATGTGTAAACTAAAGAAGTCTATATATGGGCTTAAGCAGTCTCCACGGTAATGGTACAAGAAGTTCGACTCCCACTTGATTCTGATTGGCTATAGTTGCTGTGAGCATGACTGTTGTATACCATCGACAAATCACTTCAAATTGTGTAACACATATATGACTAGTCCCAGCAGAGAGCATTAGAGAGCTATAAAGTGGATTTATAAGTACTTGAGAGATAAAATGGTGTGAGAGATCACATGGTGATGTTTCAATTTAGGGATATGTAGATGCAGATTATACAGGCTACTTAGATAACATAAGGTCCTATACAAGTTATGTTTTCATACTTGTAGGTAGGCCTATATGTTGAAGATCAATGGTGCAGTCACTTGTGAAATTATCTACAACTGAAGCAAAGTGCATGTGAGGCATTGAGAAGGCTTCTCAGGGGGCTTGAGATCAAGTAAGATAGAATGAAGTTGTATTGTGATAGTTAGAGAGCTATCTTCTTAGCAAAGAATTAGATTTATCATGCAAGAACTAAACACATTGATGTTAGATTTCATAAGATAAGGCAGTTGATTATTTCAGGATAACCGTTGTTAGAGAAGGTGCATATCTCAGATAATGCAGTGGACAGCCAATTACAATGGATAGGTTCAACCATTGCTTGAACTTAATTAACATCTCTAGGTGTTAGAAATGATGTGTCCCAATCCATTGGTTCTAAATGATGTGGTTTTCTAGGTTATGTTTTTTAGTGTTTTTCTCCTAAGGGATGAATATTCATCATGGTGGAAATCGTTGTGTATGTGGCTCATATAGAATGGAACACAGGTTTACGAAATTTTCCAAGGCAAACTTCCACCTTTGGGCATTCATTTGTGAATCTAGATTTTCTAAAACAAGTTTCCATATTTGGGTTCTTACTTGAGAAACTTGATATAAGACAAGAATCAGACGGGCACACTTGGAAATGGTTTATATTGAGAATGGTCTAAAGAACGTACGTAGGAATGCCTCCTGTTTGAACTCAGTGGAAGGTGTCCTCCCTATTTGGACCCAATCTTCCAAAAATTGAAGAAGTCACTAATACTTTGAATACATTTCAGGTGTTAGCAGAACCCTTAGCAGATTGTTTTAGAGACTTACACTCTGAAGCGACTTCGTGATTGGCATTACATTTCTAAGGAGTACATGGAGTTGAAACCAGCATTCGAACTTGTGACGTTGGGCCAGCGAATATGCTCCTGGCTTGGAGGTCGTCCTAATCTTCACCATGAAGGGTATTGTTGCTGGTATGTAAAATACTAGTTTAGTCCTATCGCATGAGAAGACCAAGGCTGCCCAGATCCATTGAAATTCTATTACTTATTAGTACTGTTATATCCCAAGGTGGAAAAAGAAGGCTCATTTGAAGTCAAGCTTTGTAAAAATTTATGAGATATTCCAAACTTAATGATTCTATAGAATCAAGCGTTTAATTTTTCTTGTTTGTTATGAATCATTTTTAAGAGCGTGTTTGGATGGACTTGTAAGTTTATTTATAAGTCAAAGATAGAAAATGTACGTTTCTATCTTACAATTAAACTTATAAAACAACCCAAGCATGCTATGAAGATTAGTTTTACAAACTCAAAAAGTAGAAAACCTAACCATTAACAAATAAAGATGCAGGATTGAAATATTACATATCTTATAAAATATGACCTTTATACAATTTTTTGAAAACAAAAGATATTTTGTTGAAAAGTTTCATGGCTAGTCCCCAACCTAAGACCTCTTTACCAAGTTGATCTCCACTGGTTAAAATGAAATGTTTACTCCTCAACCTTCCACTCCCGTTGCAAGTTTCCTATTGGATAGGTATCCTGCATTTGTTGTCTAAAATTAAATTGTTGTAAAATAAGGGGTTTTGGGGGCTCTATTTAGAGCAAAATCTAGCAAATTGGCTAGGACGGATATCGAAACTACACATAAGATTAGGTGGCTACTATGGGTAGGAAATGTAGTCAGGGGTGCTAAGTTGTGGCAGAATGTGAGGGAACTTTGAAATAGGTTGGGCATAGTGTTTCTTTGTTTCCATAGTGAATTTTAGAATCGAGAACCGAATGGTTCTTGTCCGATTCTCTATTCTAATTACAGAACTGCTTATGATTCAATTACATAATTATTTTTTTAATAGTTTGCAGTTAAATCTTAATTCATATAAATTCAAATATTTTTAGAATAACTTGGCATACATTATTATCCAATAACATTAAAGCATTAAAATTTATGGACAATACTTGGAATATATAATGGATACCATAATCCATTATGTTCAAGTAGAATAATCCAAAATTTATCTATGAAATGTAAAATTATAGATCCAAAGCTGACTAAAACCAGTGGAGCCATAAAAAAAAAAGCAACCAAACAAGAATCGATCCATTATGGCCCGATTTCATTTTCACGATTCTCAACGACAATCAAATGATTACTTTCCCTAATCCCGAATTGAATCACCCGATGCCCACCCCTGCTACTATAGTTGTTAATAAAAATTTGTCCATTGGCCTAGTAGTGCAACAAAAAAGTTAAAAATAGGGATTCTGCTATTCGTACATAAAAATGTATATATGCCATTATAAAAAATGATGATAATAGAAAAGATTAGATGAAAATTTTGATTAAATTGACAAATAATAAAATGTCACGTGACATTATGTAATTTATTGTATAAACTTTAATGTATATATAGCAAAATTCAGAAACGTTATGGGACAACATTCTAAATAGGACATAGTATAGGGACCTGCGTAACAAATTTTTCAGATTCCTACTATCAAATCATTCCAATATTTCAAGTGAGAGAAAGAAAACAAAGAAAAGAAATCGTCAGCTTAGGCTCTCCGAACAGACAAAAACGAAAAACCCTCTTTGCAAAATTCAGAATGGCTAACAGCAATTTACCTCGAAGAATTATCAAGGTACAACCCTCGATCCTTGTATTGTACTTCCGATCCCGATCTTAACTTCATTATAAAGTGCAAAACTCGGATTTTTGTTTGTTGAAACTGGGTCCAATTGTTACTATGATCGTTAAGCTTGTTTATTGATTATAGTGTTTAACACCTTTTTTTTTTTTCCCCTTTGCTTTTAATGATGTGATCTAATAGGAGACTCAACGGCTTCTAAGCGAACCAGGTTAACCCTTTTTCTTTTGTATTGGCACGTTGTTACACGAATGCACTTGTGTGTGTGTGTAGATAATAGAATATTTGTGCTTAATAGTGGACGGGGATTAAATATGTATGGCCTCTCTAATCTGCATTTGTTGATTTGTATTAAAGCTTTAATTTTAAGGTAATACAGTGATTTTATACCAATTTCACATTCTATTTCACTTGATTCTAGAACCCTTTTGATTTTCCTCTCTCTTTTGGTTTGTGCATATGAAGGTCTTTTGCATTTTCAGCTCTACGTCCCTGTCATTTTGGGTTTGAAGTTCATATATTTTATTTAAGTGCTCAACTTTTGTATACTGCACTAAGATCCATTTGCTTCAATCTTCATGCATTTACTGCTAATGTTTTTTCGATCCATTACTTTTTGGGTATTAGTACACGTTTATTTCTGAGGACTCTCGTGGTGGTTGTCTTGTTCTGTCTCTGCACTTTAGCTATCATTTCTGGTGATTCTTATGGGGGTTAATGTTTAAAATGTTGCTAAGTGTTCGATCAGTTGGGCTTTTATATAATTAGATTTCACCTTCAAGATTTTTTGGGTTTCTGGATGCAGCCCCAGGAATAAGCGCATCCCCATCAGAAGAGAATATGCGGTATTTCAATGTAATGATTCTTGGCCCAACACAGTCTCCTTACGAAGGTAATTATTATTGACATTTTCTGTTCAGTAATTGGTTGTTCTTATACTGATGTTATGCTCTTTAGGGAATGCAATATTATGAAAATTATAGTTATCTAGGGACTCTTCTATCTTAAGCATTTCCAGTGTTGGGTAATGAAGAGCTTAAATTCCTTGTCTATTTTTATGTTCTTTTCATTGTTAGGTGTATAATTTCACGAGGGGATGAAGGTTAGAACTTTCATTGAATTCTCAGTGTCATACCCCAATTTTCATAAACCCTCGTTTTACTAAAATTTAATTTTCTTCACGTTAAATGCCAAAAAGATAAAAAATATTTTCTTTATAAAAAAATAAACAGTATCCATAATTTAACCTAAAACATGAAAATTGTACTTTTTTGAAAGAAACATAATCAACTAAGTATTTAATAAACATGTCCTTTAAGACAATTTAGAACTATATAATAAATTAAAAGATGGAAAACTCAATGCTTTTAGTTCTTCAAATTCTTTTGGCAGCATGCATTACCATTCTGCCACAGCTCCAATCGAGCCAAAATAACATTTTAATTAAGGTAAGAGTGAGTATTTAGCAATAACCAGTAAGATTACATGCAGATTTTGCACACAATTATATAAAACCATAAAATATGCACTTAATGCCACATTTTGTTTGGAGTATATCGGTGAACAAACAAGATACTCATCACGTAGTGATTTCGAATTCCCGAAATATTTCACATTTCATTAATAAGAACCCAAAAAAGTTTACATTTTGTTAGGTCGAACACAAAGGTCCATTTGCGATTCATGCATATTTAATTAAATTTATAAAAGTATAACGAAACAAACCATTTGCATGTTATGTGTCTTACCTTCAATAGATTAAACGAATATTTTTTAAAGAAAATATGAATGCACGTTCCAATATTTTCTTTTCTAACTTTTCGGTTGTAGACGTGATATTTGCTTTCTACCTTTCAAAATTATATTCTCTCTCTTAGTGTGTTTATACATATTTGTGTGTGTACCTGCTCTACATTGGAAAGTGGGAGACCATGCAGTCATGCACTGTAAGAAATTGGATGACATTTGATTTAAAAAGTCGAACTTGGATTCAAATAAAAGAATTAGGATTTTCACATGAAATCTGCAGAAAGAGGGATTAACTTAGTAATTAGGATACTTAGTTTATTACAATTCTATTTAACCTTATTTTTCTTTAATCGGATCTAACTTGATTGGATCTTATCCAATACAACTTTTTCTTTTATTGAAGACTCCTACTTAATTATAAGTTACAGAATGAGCCCAATATTGATTATCACTCTATCAATAATTAATTATTTGGCCCAAAATATATTGAATTTAATAATTATATCACTTTAGTTCCTCAACTTTCCAAAATTGTATTAAAAAAAGGTATTTAGACCAAATAATTCTATTTTATGAAATTTCTGGGGCGTTACACTCGGTGTGCATTTTTCTTGTCTGCAAGGTTGATTTTCAGATGGGTCCCATTTCTGAATATTTGCTTAACTCATTATCACTCTATTAGCTGCATAAGTTTTAGGCGACAAGTTAAATGTTTTTAGCAGTCACTTTATGAACCACAGTATGGCTTTATTATCCTCTGTTTTGGATTATTATTGTTTTATTATCCTCTGATTTGGATTATTATTTCCATATACCTACAGTACCTGATCACAACATTTATTGAGATTTTCACCCGATAGGATATATTGGTCTGTGCTGATTGATTCCAAGTTGTGAACAAATCTTTGCCAGCTTGAGAAAGATAGTAGGCTCACACCTTCTGTTTGGTTTGGTCGATGAGAAATTATATAGATATTCAAAAATTCTGCAGCAGTGAGGTTACTGCATAGAATGCAGTTCCCATTTGATAATATAATTTGGGAACTGTTGTCTTAGTTTGACTGTGTCACTCTTAGCTTTATCACAACTGAATATGAATGTCGAAGTGAATGTTTGAATCCTAATTTCTTTAGTTAAATCTTAGAATTCTTAGTTTGAGTGCGATGACCTTCTATGATTTTGTTTGTTTGCTAGTTGCTGTAAGTTACTAGATTCTGATAGAGGAGTTTTATAGTAATCATGTTCTGTCTCTTACTATTTTTGTTTCAATGGCTTGCTTTGTAGGAGGAGTTTTCAAGCTGGAATTGTTTTTACCCGAAGAGTACCCAATGGCTGCTCCCAAGGTATTCGAATGAAACTGCAGTGCAACAGGATGGTGGTTACTGCACTGTGTTTTTTTATGAGGAATGTGGTTATGGAATTATATGATAGTGTCTTTGTAACCCAGTAGAATAGTCTTCTTTCCTCCACCTTGATGGAGATTTACAGCTGGGAATTAAAGAATACCATGTGCCTGAAACTTGCATATGTTCACTGTATCCTTCTCCTTTTTTTTTTTTTTTTCTGATAGCTTCTCATACAAGCAAAATCAGCAACTGCTTGACATATCTGTTTGCATTGCAACAACAGAAGAATTCTTTTGCAAGTAGAATCTCACTGAATTTCTGAAAATGATACTTATATTTGTGAATCAGTCCAAAAAATATGAAGAAAAGGTGTTTTTTATTTCAGTTGGGGGGGGAGTGGGGGAGACCCTTGTAGGTGTTAAGACATTTTGTTACTTCAATTGCCTATATATGTATGTCATTTTCCTTTACTATGATAGGCCCTCTTTTAGCTGTGACAACTTGGATTTTCCAGAGTGACAGTTTACCCGAAAAAGGAAAAGAAATCTGTCATATAGTATAGACTTTTGTCCTTGCATCTTACTTTTAAGTAATGGGCTTTGATTTTAAGCTTTTTCTTCTGGAGACTTGTTCTACTCATGGAATGCTGTCATTTAACATTTGGCAGACTTCTCAAGTTGAATCAATAGCAGTAGTAGTTCATACAACTGGAGAGTTGATCGCTATGTGGAATTGTAGATAATTTGTGACGTTGGGAAACAAACAATGCTATAATTGGATATGGAAGTTCAAAACATGCTATCTTGAGTGTAGGAGGCTAGTATGACGAGGACTTGACTTCCAGAATAAAAAGAATATTTGGCGAGGCATTTCAATTGTAGATAGGAGAACAGCTAGTGTAGCTTTTTATTCCTGAAGCTGTGGCTTCCAATTTTTCTATGTAAAACATTTTGCTTGTATGTTTTCAGTTGATTGCCTGTTTTGCCTTGGCTCTTGATGCTAAAATACTCAAAATTTTACTTGTTAAGGGAATTAATTGCCTTAGAAGTGCAATACACAATGATGGTATCATATGCCTTCGTAAATTTGTTCCATCTCCACTCTCCCTTGCTGCACATGCCCTAAAATTTTATTATGTTATGAATGTTGACCTGCGAAAATTGTTGTAAAATGTTACAGCTTTAAAAGAAAATTGGATTGCCCTACACAGCCATAAGAGATTCTCAATTTATTTGTAGAGCATCCTTAATTAGCACACAATAAGTTGTCATGGTCTTGTTTACCCCCTAATCGCTACCAAATATCTAATGTGGTAACTAAGAGGGCAGCTGCCCTGTAATAGTATCTTCAGTTAAAACTGGCATGCTGTTGCAGTTCCTCTTGAAGTCATTGCTGTAAAAAAATGGATTGTCTGCACCAACTCTATCCACTGTCGTCGAAATGAAATTGGAAGATATTGCTTTTGGATCAGAATATTACATTACTAAAATATTTATTCTTCACATGTATCTCATGACAGGTTCGCTTCCTTACCAAAATTTACCATCCTAACATCGATAAGGTTTGTTGTGTTGATACCAGTTTTGTCTTAGGCTCAATACTTTGCATCTTGCCTAATGGATCTTTTTATGCAGCTTGGAAGGATATGCCTAGATATTCTTAAAGACAAATGGAGTCCTGCTCTTCAGATTCGAACTGTACTTTTGAGGTACTGTAATATAAAGTAACATCTATTTACTTCTCTATGGACTTATATCCCATGAAATAGAACTTTTGTACATTCTGGCAAATATCTCGATGTAATCTGACAAACTGCTGTATTATCGTGTGAACCAGAAACTGAGAAATATGTTTGTGGCAGAAGTAAAGATTCTGGCTCAGATAATTAGCAAAAATCATTTTTTATGGTTTATACTCACGAAATTCACAATATTCTATTGGTTGTATTTAGCATTCAAGCACTTTTGAGTGCTCCAAACCCAGATGATCCACTCTCTGAAAACATAGCAAAGCATTGGAAAACAAACGAGGCTGAAGCCGTTGAAACAGGTATTGAAGTGATTCGTACCTGAATTATTTCTTAACTTCTTTTGTTGTGGCATGGCAAACCCGAAGAGAATTACATATGCTCTCATTCCAGGTGGGAAATTGTGTTCTTTCCATGGTCACTAATTAAGTTCGTTTATTTTAAATTCTGCAGCGAAAGAGTGGACGCGATTATATGCAACTGGTGCTTGAGGAGGAGCTTCGTGATTCCGTAATAACAATATGTGTAACTCATTGACTGTTGAATGAAGATGGAAAAGATGGAAGAATTAGCTATGATAAAAAATCGAAATTTGATGATCTACTCTATGATTGTTCTTTGTTAAAATGGGTATTCGAAATTGTATAATGAGATCATACACTCCTGTTACTTCTCTTTGATCTGTTGTGTTGATCTTCTCCGTTAAGAAGACAATTAAATTAAGAGGGCGTTTTCGTTTGGAATAGAGCCTAAAACATCTGATTCTACTCTCATTCCGCCCCTTTTTGGGTTTTTAAATCTTATGTTCATTGGAAAACAAGTACTATTTTGTTTGTATCATGTTTTGTGGGGGTGTTCCCAAACCAACAGGTTATGAGTTGATCAAAATTTTCGGTTACCTAACTCTTCCCCTTTTGCCTTTACTCGTACTTAATTTGAAATAATAATGCTTTGTATCACCGGTCTATGTGGATACACTTTATATATTATATTAAATGAATCATGTCCTACTGCATTTAAATGAACTAGTCAAAGTAGAACGTGCATTGTATGTAATTTTAAAATGCTTTATAAGTGATGAAAATAATATTTAGTACCAATTTATTGAAGGGCTTGATCAGTCTCGAACGAATTAAAGAAAATAAAATTTAAGAGAAGAAAATTATAATCTCAAAAATCAATTTTTATGATTCAATTTTTTAGTATGATGAAATATTATAAATGAGCAATTTTTTTTATATTACATTTGATGCATAAAAATTAATTATTAATACATAAATTTAAACATCCATTAAAATTTCTAGATACATGAACAGTTGGATGGTATTATTGGAACATCCATTAAATTTTAAAAAATCGACATTAAAAGGTATTATTGGAATAATTTAATTGTAGAGGGTTAAAATAGTCCAAAAAATAATTCTCCCTTGATGTAATACTTTAATAGATTATAGATTATAGATTTATCATTTAATGTTATGTAGCTGTTGCTTAAATTGGTGATGAAATAGCATTACTCAATTTGAAAACATTGAATAAGGAGGCAAGAATTAATAGCAGTGTGGCCAGCCAAATGTAAGTCACTCAAATCACAAGAACTGGTAGCTGGTTAGCATTATCCTGTTCAAAGTTCCATTGCCGGGATTTTATTGCAGGTGGGGACTGTTTGGAAGTTAGCAACTTAAATGCTTACATGTGATTTTACTCCTTTACAAGGGGTCATTGACTTTCAGCCAGCATAATGCAATATTGAGTTATTATGGTAGTTCTAAATGCCCATTAATTATAGATACTATCAGAATCCTTTCGCCTTATTAATATGCAGTATTTGTACAATGTAGCAGTCAAGTACTATAGAATTCACCTTGCCAGTGTCTATAGAATTCACCTTGCCAGTGTCCAGACATCTGGCACATCAAAAACTAGTATTTCCATGGACAAGCAAAAAGAAATTCAAACCATGGTCAGCGAGATTACCAATTTCAGAAACATTCATGAAAAGAGAGAATGGGAAAGGTCTCGAGTGAAAACTGTATTTTATAATGACATGAAAAGTAGAAGCAAGGGAAATAATAGATGAAAAAATTTATGAACTTTTATTGATTAAATGGTTGAGAACAGAAACATCAATAACATAGAATTCATCCTCTCACTAACCAGACAAGTGTCAACGCGATATCCAATTGCTTCGATGTACTCCATTGTTGTGTATATATCAACCATATATATCCATGTACAATTTCTTGACTAAAAGCCACCAAGCCATGCTTTCTGTGTCTCCCGGTATTTAACTAGAAGAGCATTCTTGAACAATTATATATACTTCTCAACGTGTATGAGGAAGCTTACGGCCTACTGGAAGATGACGTGCCAAAGAAAGTTCGAAAAATTTGAAAGTAGAAAAAAAAAAAAAAAAAGAAAGAAAGGAGGGAGGAAGATGAAACAAATAGAAACCATAGATGAATGAATAAATAAAAACAGAGACTGGGGACTAAGCAATGCAGTCCAAGTCCCCTGGCATTTGGTTCTATTGGCTCCTAATGAGATTGAATATTTTGCAGTGGTTCTGATAATTTAGGGAGAAAATATTGGTTTTTCTGTAACCCGGGGATTGAGATGCAAAAGGATATGCATGACACAAAGGTACAGAAGCGTCGAACATTTGTAGTTTAAATACTATAATGCCTCACTGAGGACTCCAAGACCTCGGGACTCGGGCAGATCATTTCCTTCACTCGGTTGCCTTTTCTGTAAATCTTGAATGTTGGTATAATTTTGATATTTTCAGCATGAGCTATAGTGGGACTCTCTTCAACATCCACCTTCAGTAGGAAACAATTAGACAATTAAAGTTTTCAACTCATGTTGAACAGATAATATACCTTGAGATCAAGAAGAAACCAAAGGGTGATGGGAAAATGACCAAGCACAATATGTTAAATCACTTACCTTAAGAAAATTTACCGATGGATATCGAGCACATAGTGTGTTCAAGAATGAAGATATCTGTTTACATTGTAGGTTAGATGATGCTTTGAACTGAACCACAGATGCACCTGCATTTTTCAATTATGATCATCACATCATTGTAAAAAAGCAAAGCAAAGTGTGAGTCATGAATATTAATATGCTTACTAGATGAAGAAATTGCAGCACGGAATTGATCAAGGCCAGAAACCAACTCCACATCCCCACCAAATTTCATATTGTAAACCTCTTCTCCACGAGATTTCTTCAATGCAACTTGTGCATGGAACAAAGACTCAGCAACCTCATTATCATTTGGGAGTTCCTTTCTCAAAATCTCATAATCTCTCACAGCTTCGGCCCATTTTTCAAGCTGTAGTCAATAGTGCATATTATGTAAAACATTGTATTCTGAATTCAAGGGGCAAAATCTTGCACTAATTTCGAAAACTGCAAATATTCTCACCTTAATATTTGAGGCAGCTCTTCGAAGTAGAGCTTTAGCATAATTTGGCCTGATACTAAGAGCCAGGTTGCAATCATCTACAGACCGCTCCCACTGCCCAAGCTTAAACCAACAAGCCGCTCTATTGCAGTACAGAACCGAGTTCGCAGGATCAAGCCTGAGTCCTTCCCCATAAGCTGAGCAAGCTTCAGTATACCTTTCAGATATAAAAAGATCATTCCCATTTGTTCGTGCTCGGCCTACCAATGTCATATTGTTAAGCATAACTGACACTTCAACATTAAGGCAGTCAATTTGTCCAGCCTTTTCAATCGCTGCAAGTGCCTTCTCAAACCTGCAAAAAATGACAATTAATTCATACCCTTGAGGATACCTTCGTTGAAAGATAAAACTTCAAAGGTTCTAAGCTAACTTTCCCATCGACAGCTCAATTTGGGCTTGGACAAAGAACAAATAAGCTTCCGGATGCATCCCAAAAACCTTCAGCTGTGAAGGGTAAGTGGTGTGTGATTCAAGTTCAGGAATGTTTGACAAAGCCAAATAAGCATCATTTAGTTGGTGGAGCTTCAAGAGAGCCTCCGCTCTACATGCACAAAGCTGTAAGTTCACATTCAACCAGTTCAGATACAGCATTTTCTTTGTCGTTGCTGATCCTAAAATCAACAATTAAACAGAAACATAGGTACAGCCGTACCTGAGGAGAAGCATCAGCTCCAGAAGCTATGGCAGCATCAACTTCCCTCAATGTACATCTCCAATCACCTACACTCCGTGAATCTGTGCATCTGCTCAGATGCTTCTCAACTGTTTGCAACCTCAGTAACTCGATTGGCTCAGGCTGATGCCCTGGAAAACAAAGGTGCTTCCTGGCATTCTCTACCTGCCCTAAACTGTGATCCTTAAGGAATTAGACTGCTTACTACATAGTGCAGAAAAATCAATGGCTACTCAAATAACCTAAATAAGAGAAAAAATAAAGCAAATTACTGAACCAAATGGAAATAGTATTCTTTTCACAAAAATCTGGTTTTGGTCGATGAATATTCCAGTAAACATTTAAGTAGGAAAAATAGTTAACTGAACAGTATACAATGCAACAAACCGTGCATCATATTCATTCATTAAATCCCATATTAGAATGGTCCAAAAGTGTGTTTAAATTACTGGCATTCTATTCTTCCAAACCAAATAATTGGCTCACTACCCTAGAAACTGAAATCCGAGATGGACCCCTGATCAGGCAACTCGACTGGAACAACAAAGGCAAAGAAGGAAAATATATGTTAAGGCGAGCTAAAGATCAAGGACAGCTCCATCGCAATGGAGAACAAAGAAATTGCGTAAGGCATAGCCATAATTCGAAGAAATCATCTAAATAAAGAAATCTAGCAGAAGATAATAGATCCATCCTGATCAATGTAGATTTTCACAACACTTCCAGGAAAATCAACACGCATCCTAGCCAATGTTGATCAAAATCACCACATTACAACTCAATGATTCTCACACTTCCTCGAAAGACTTTATATGAATATCATGCATAAAAATTTTGAATATAACTAGACAAACTCAGTAAAGATAAGAACTTTTTTACCAACTCACTTAATAAACAAAGACCCTAAACGATGGTGCGCCCTCGTGTATCCTGGATCCAACCTAATGGCCTCTTCACATTCTCGCACGGCCTCAGCCAGCCGCCTCAGACCCATCAAAGCCGCAGACCTATTGTAATGGTAAGCCGCGTTGCCCGGGGAAATTGCGATGGCCTTATCATACAGGCGTAAAGCCTCCGAAAAATTACCCTTCTTGTAATTTTCATTCCCTGTTTTCTTCATTTCCTCTGGATCACTACTATTATCCACTCCCCTTCTCCTCATTGGCTCCCCTCCTCTCGAGTAATTTGCCGGTCCGCAGTCGGTAGTTGCGGCGGGTTTAGATGCTGCACCACTCCTCATTATGCTGCCGTGGCCATAATTGGCGGTGCCAGACCCCAAAACATCGGTCTTGGTTGACCTAACAGTCGTGGCGGGCTTCAAAATCCTGCCGGAGGGGCAGATATTCCCGGTGGGAAACACATTGACAGCCGGAGAGTTAACCGATCCCCCACCGGAGTAAATTACCGGGTGTGTACCGGTCGAATAGGAGCGACCATGAGCCGGCTTGAAGTTACGCGTAGGTTTCGGGGAACTCTCCACCGAAGAACCTGATAGCTCGCCGGAGTGGCTGTTGTAGTTGGAATCGGATATTCTTGGAATATTCGAACTGAGACCAGCAGCAGTCCGGCTTGAGACGGATCCGGAGGAACTTGAACTGGTACTGGTGGCAGTGAATCCACCCGGGCGTGTTAACAAGGTCGAAACTGGCGAACCCAGATCGAGTTCTCGGAAGTCAGGCTTGTTAGCATTGATGCCATTATCTTCACTGTAGCTCATTGTATTCCTCAACTGATCCGTCAGGCTTTCTACTGTTAACTCCGACGTCGGCCCAAAGCGCGACATTTTTACACACACACCAACTTCACTTAGTTTCTCACTGGAGCTTAGCAATGTGCGTGAAGTAAAAAGAAACAAATCAACAATGGTGAAATGATGCAACTAAGAAAGACATGAAGACGAGAAAGAGAGCATAAGAGACGAGGATCTCGTGAATTTAAAGGAAGATAGACAATCTCATATTTCAAAGCCTTGAATAGAGCAAATTTTACGCACATAAATCATCAATATAAACACGAACATTACCTGTCCAAAATTATTCATAGCCGCGTTATTAGGAGTGTGATTGAATTTTGATTCGAATTTAATTTAAATATGATGAAATTAATGGGAGATGAATTTAGGGTATCAATCCAATAATTCGATTAAGATTCGAATCCGATATCCATTAACTAAGTGGAGCAAATATGGATATAGGTCGATTCGATCAGATAACAATCCGATCCGATTTATTATAATAATATAATATATATTATATCATAATATAGTAAACATAATTTTTTTCATTTTGAAACTTATATTATGCTTTGCACATAATTTTTAAATAATAGTATAATATTGTTAATTGAAATATTCGAAGAGATTTAATTTTTTTATTAATTAAAATAAGATAAAAATAACTATAGTAATTTGTTGTATAACATCAAAAACTAATAATTAATATGTCCAAAAATAATTTACATTGTTTAACTTGATATTATTTGTGCTTATAATCTTGTTGATGTTATGATTTTTAATGAAAATAATAAAATAAACTAATAACACTTAGAATCGACAATCGACTAATATCTCACATTGAAATATCACTAAAATATTGGCAGATGAGTACCCTTTAAAAAGTTAGTATCTCACATTGGAACATTACTAAAACATTCCAATGGGAGTCTCATTTAAAAATGAACTAAAGAAGCATCATTTGGATAAAAAATTAATTTGAGCCTTCTAGTATAATAGGTGAGCCCATCAAGATAGTTAAAATATATTTTAGGCAAAAAAAAAAAATCAAATTACCCAAAAAAAAATAGTGGAAAAATATTTTTTTTTTCTAAATTTGGATCGGATTATCGGATCGAATATCCGATAACATAGCAAATCGGATTTGGATTTAACAATGAAATATTCGTTGAATTATCGAATCTAATTGGATAAGATAAATTTTTTTTTGACGGATCGGATCAGATTTGAGCAGATCCACTTTATATCCGATCCATTTACAGCTTTACATGTTATTTTGAAAGAATATATTTTGAAATAGTAATTTGATAGAAAATGCATGAAAAAATGAAAAAAAAAATTGAATTTTTCGTATAATATTATTTTATTGAGCCCTTGTTTGAGCCACATTATATTCTTAAGAATACATTTTTAAATAATGTATTGATTGAAAATGTGTGGTTAAAAAACTAATGAAAAATCGTATAACATTATTTTACTGAAGAATGTGTGATTTAAATGATATCAAATCATTATTTAAAAATGTATTTTTTTTTTTAAATATGACTCAAACATAATCTGAATAATGTGTAATTAAAATGATAAAAAGAATGCGGTTAAAACAGAGCCAAAAATAAATATAAGGTCAACCATCCACGTCACCTACTTTGTCCTTCATGTTAATGTTAGACCGTACAAATATTATTACCCCCACATTTCGAGTTTATGCAAAGTTGGATTTTTAGAAGATTTTAATAAATATTGATAAAACGTGTGATTAAAAAATTGTGAATCTCAAAAAGTATGAAATTAAAATTCTCTTAGCTTGTTTGAGCCCTATTTTTTGCTAAAAATACATTTTAAAATAGTGATTTGATGAAGAATGTATAATTAAAAATTACAGAATAAATTTTAAATTTACTTGTAATATTAATTTAATGAAAAATATGTGATTAAAAATAATTAAAAAAAAATACGTATTAAAAATAATGAGATCAAACAAGAGTGTGTAAGCCCTCGTTTGAGCTCCATTTTCCTTCTCATTATTTTTCTTTCTCTTATTTTTAACAACACAATCTTTCATAAAATAATATTACATGCAAATTAAAAACTTTTCATTCTTTTTCAACCATACATTTTTTCAAAAAAATATTATTCCAACCATTAAACTTTGAGAAGAATGGAGACCAAACGGAGCTATTGCAAGTACTCGTCGAAAATAGGACGCATATAAGTACCGTCATCAATAGTCACTCCGTAGATCCACCCAGAAATAGGATAAAAATGAGAATTGTCCTCAAATTACAAAGTTTATCTAGAACTTCACTGAAAAACATGCTAAATTCAGAAGATTAAGATGCCATTTCAAGAAAACTTTCCAAATATATATCGAAAAGACAACGCAGCAAAATATTGCCTTTACGCTACAAATCTTGTGATTTGTGTGGGACCTTAAATTGCGCCCACTTCTACTTACATAGTTCTCAAAACTCTTATTAGGGGTTTGTTTGGGAGTGATTTTTTCACCCAAAAAATTAATTTTTTGACCGTTATTTCACTATTTCAATCGTCATATTTGACTTCTTCTCTCACGGATGGACCCCACTTTTCTCCTAACGATCAAAAAATCAATTCTCAAATCACTCCCAAACAGGCTCTAAGATACCTTAAAGTATGTTTCATAAAATATCATTGGTAACACTTTTTAATAAAAAAAAAACATGTAAAAGCATTAAAAAATCCAGCTAGAATTTCAAAAGCCTGCCCAAATACCTTATTCTTCCATTGATATCCCTACCTTCCCTTGATTCTTGAAATGCTGAGGAGCGGGTTTTAACACTAGGTTAACCTCGTAGGGAATGAAGAGTCGTTTCAATCAATTTAGGCACCAAGTAGGGATAATCTTGGAAATTCAAAATTACGGTCTGGGCATAACCAGCTGGCCATGTGCTGGAGAGTGGATTGCCAGCTGGCTCATTCATGAAATTATAAGTAATTACAATGGCATCCAGCTAAGAAATTAACGGCAAGGGCGTGATGCCTAGAATATTCTGATTTTCTTCGAAATAACCGTCAGCTTTTACGGGACCGAGGGAAAACGATGTTGACAGTAGATAAGTGGCCATCATCCAGATCAGCAGTAATCACTACCGTTTAAAATGATCTGTCACCGTACGATGCCCTGAAGATAATTTGGAAGTACACATTCGTTTGCCACAATCACAATCTCATTAAAGAGATGTGATTCACCATATATCATCCAGAAGCAGACTCCCAAGTTCCAATCTGCATCACTTCGAAGGACATACCTTTTACTAAGGCGCTTTACCAAATAGCAATATCAGACCACCCCATCCACTCCATAAAAATGCTTCAACATTGACTCAAACCTAAAACCTCCAAATCTGATATCAACTGCCGTAGGAAAATGCAAATTTTTCTAGAAACTATAATGCAGAGATGCAATCACTTTGACCATAAGTTAGAAAATGTGCATTGTAGAAAGATGCAACCACTTTGTCCTTGCATCTCCCTACATAGAAACCCATTCAAAAAATAATGATTTGGTCGATCGATTCAATCTGATGCCAAATAGGAGGAAGATTCATGGTGCAAATAAACCCCCAAACCGCTTATATATATATATATATAACCCCCACCATTCTACCAGCACAACATAATAAGCAATTATCAACAATCTTAGCGCAAATAAAAATTGATAGTATGATCAAACTAGCACATCACGTTTTCACTTTTTCATCATCATCTTAACGTCCACCTGGGGTGTTCCCACGGATAAATGAACCCCGTCGGTGGCCTGGTACAAGCACTTCTTTCAGTCGAGATATGGGATTAAGCATTCTGCCCATCCTCAGTACCTATGAGAAATAAAAGTTACTGCATCAAAATAGAGCTGAATAACTGCATATCAAGTAGAGTATCAAATAATTGAAGCTAATTATTGCTACTTCTAAGTTCTAACATGATATTTCTTGTGAAAACAAGATACTAAAATATATATTGGGACGCCCTACTCATAGGCTAGCCTAAACACTGAGAGATAACCTCAAGCTCGTTAATGGGTTCTGGACCTCTTTACAGTCAAGATATTTAGAAAAATATATAATCAAGTCAAAACTCCTTCAATGACTGAGGATCCTCCAGCCATTACTACAAAAGAACGAATACACACAATCGAAATTTTGCAATTCGGTAGGAAGCCAACCACTATCATAGTAGTATTGGATTTCCAGCTTTGTTTCCAGGAAGCGGTTGCCGTTCAGAACCTAATCAGTCATCAGTGAGTATTGTCCTACATGTTGGTGAATTATTAATTCACATTTTCAAAGCTCGATAGGCTTGCTACATACATCCACTTTTTTGGTTCTGTCAATAAATCACGACTTTCGCTCAGATATAAGAATTAACTTTACCACACTAAACAAAAACCTTATAATCCCAAGTCTTTGAAGATTTGCAGTACAATATACATCAATCTAAGATAAACTAAAAACTAGCAAGCCTTCGCAAATTGCAACGGCCCAAGAAAGATGATTCTATTTTTCATTTTTTCCTTTAGGCAAAGAACAGTTAGATAAATGGGTACAGGCTACACGCTGAAGTACTCTTTCAGCCATGTAGACAACTAACTCCACTTTGGATCAGGTCAAGGATCATACTAAGGATCTTCATTGGAAGGTTAGCATCAGAAGTCTAATTTCCTCTTTCATTTTGTTTTTGCTGATTTTCCCCTGTAGCAACAGGGAATACGTAATGAAAGATAAGTCCACAGAGACATGCCTGACACTGGGAATGGATTCAAAGTGACCAGATGGTGACATGTTTCCAAAACCTCATTCAGTCCGCTATTCATCTTCCATCTTTACCATACAACAAGCAATCAAGCATTCTTTATATACACACCATCCCTCCCTCACTTTTCCCTCAATTTCTAGTAATTACAAACAACATGAACACTCACAGAATTGAACAAGAAATCAGATATCTACGAAGCAATTCATGCAAAATTATTAAGAGTACCTCATCATTGAAGCCAAATTGCCACTTGAGGTGCAAAACTTGCCACCTCTCTTGCTGCCACTTCTGGCCAAGAATTACAAGCCCCATAACAGCTGCTGCAACGAAAATTGACCAAAATGTATTTGCTTCTTTAGCATGGGCATATAAAGACGCAGCATGCCTTTTCCACCAAGCTTCACAAGGAAGGTCAGCTCCATCATACTTATCTTCCTCAACAGGCTTTTGGAAATTTGACATGCCCGAATCTGAGGCATAGTCAAAAGGTTCAAGAATGTCTTTAGTCTCTAGATCTTCCTCAACAGTGTCGGAATTTCCCATGGTTGCTTCGCTATGGAACGAACTAAAATCAGCAGTGCTGTACATACTCTGCTCTTTGTCAAAGGCCATATCTTTCTCGAAGTCTGTACCGCTGGTTGAGAACGTACTACTCTTTTCATCCAAAATCTGAATTCTGGGAAATTCATCAGATACCATCCCTTTGATACTCACAATTTCTTCTTCACTTGCTTTCAGTTTACCCATTTCCCTTGCAAGCAGCTGAGGATTATCGTCATCACCTCCCTTTTCACTGTATATCATATTGTATTTAGGTTCCAACAGCAAATTCTCATGCTGAGTTGGAGGAAAACCAAAATGACCAGACATAATCATTGCACGAGAAGGTTCATCATCATTCTCTGCACCTAACTTGCCCTGGTTATCATCACTAGAATCAACCTGTTGAGGACCAGGAGCAGCAGCATATGCTGATGCAGTGAGTGATACAACTTCCCATTCATTTCCTTTAGGAGCAGTTCCCTCTCTCTCCTCATTATCTGCCATCTATAAGAATAACAAGTTTTACCAAGGCTTTATTTGTCAGAGAAAAAATGGGAGAGAACGAAGGGAAAGAGGTAAGATCAGAATAGTCGGAAGCAGGAAGAAAATGGAATCTTGTGACATCATCCTATGAAATAGAAAAACAGAGCCATAAATTCACTATTTATTGAAGCACATAGTTAAGTAACACATATATAATGTACAAATGCAATCATATATTACAGACAGTCAGTCATGTAGGCAAGCGATGTTATACTTGGGAGAAAATCTTGGGAAATATAATTTTTTTTGCACAAAGATGCAGCTTCTTGTTGGAAGAACAATAACTTATAATCTCATCTTACATTGTCTAGAACATTGCCAGTATTGAATGCTGCCATAACGATACTAGAAGTAACTACTTCGAAGTCAAATTTATGAAACTTGAAAATCCAGGGAGCAAGTTGGCTAAAAGAATATTGACTTCCTAAATTTGTAAATTGAGTCTATTAAAAGGAAACTCGCTAACATGAACATAACTTTATGGTTGACACTAAACCCAATCATATCATTAAAGAAATGTTTTATACATAATAGTTCAATAAGTAACAACAAAACCAATTCAACAATTATATTTCCTTTTGTTCAGACACCAAAATAATATCTCCCCTCAACTGAAGTATATTTCATTTCTTCCTGTTACTTTTTCAAGATTTAAGGACGTACATGATTCAGTACACATATTTAAGATTTCCTCAGTAAACAAACTTCCAGGTAATGAACAGCAAACCTTTGATTGATTGAACAAGACACTAATCAATTCAAAAGAAAAAAAACACTGACTTCAACGCAAAGGGGGGAAAAAACCAAACAAATCTCCAGCTACAATCCGGAAAAATTTTCTAATTGTACTGAAAACACAAAATTACACATACGGTACACGCCATACAAATACATATAAGCGCATAATTGTAACGTCCAAAAAAAAGAAATAGTATTCACAGGCAGTATCCAGGACAGTGAATAATTGAATCACAAAATCAGGAAAAACGAAATGATGCATACTGAAGTCAAATATTAAACAACCCGATCATCAAATACATCAAAATTAAAGCTAATTAATCATCAATCAGAGAGTACTTACAGCAAGTTAGAGATAAGTACTGTAGCCAAAGTAAAGCTCCGACGGAAAATTAAGAAAAAACTGAAGGTATCTCGGGAAATGTTAAAAAAGGAGACTAACGGGAGGGGGAAGGGATTTACAGAGATATTTGGGCGAGGAGTTAAAAGGAACCGGAATAACCGGTTTTAGTATAGTGCTTGGCGTATTTGGAAGTGGGCCGGGGGGTTACCGGCTCTGGTAGGTAAAGGTAATGGCGTCTGCGTAGTTGAGCGATAGTCTTACGTGGGGGCCGATTGATACGATTGCGTGCACGGAGAGAGTATTGTTTGGTTCACTAACCTGATAAGAAAAAGAGTTGTGCTATTTGTACAAATCTATTTAGAAGGAATCTGTACAGATGCACAAACATGAAGGTGAATCCTACATATGGGTGTGGGGGGCCCACCCTCATGGGAGAGGCCCTGCACAGATCCTGTTGAAAAGGATCTGTGTAGGAGCTTTATTCCTAAGAAAAATTGCTGGAAAATAATATTGGATTATTCCTGGAGTACATAAGGAGCACATAAGGGTGTTGCACAAGCAATTTTTTTTTTAAAATTGTGTAGTTAAAAAGTAAAATTTTTTTTTTTTTGAGTTTACATGTAAGATATTTTGTCACCATTTTTCTCTTTTTAAAATAAAACTCTTTAATTTTCATATTTATTTTCAATCATATATTTATATAATAAAATATTTTGCACCAAATTAAAAAAAAAATCCATTTTTTAATCACGCATTCTCTCAAAAATCAATATTGAAACTCCATTTTATAAAATTAATGATCATCAAATAAGAACTTTATTTTATAAATATATAATTGAAAATGAATATGAATATGAATTTGATGAATGAAGAATTCTAATTTAAAAAGAGTAAAACATATTTGGTATGATTAATGTCTGTTTATTCTTGAAAATCCACCAACCAACCAATGTGAGGTTATAGCTCTTGGTCTATTTAGTATTGCAAGAAAGGTCATTTGTGTAATAAGATTACGTGTGAATATTTTATTTGATGTATTGAAAGATGATGTGGTGATAATCTTCAACAAGAGTTGTTTGATCCCATTTTGGGGAAATAATGCATTTTGAACAGTAAATTGATGAAAAATGTGTGATTAAAAATTAAAAAAAAAGTTTTGAGTTTGCGTGTAAAATTATTTTATTAAAAAATATGTGGTTAAAAATGAATTTTGAGAAAATAAATTTTTAGGAGAATGAGAATTAAACAAAGGCTAAGTCATGTGGTTAAGAGAATTGTGAAGATACTAACCAAAAATTCTGCGACGGTCTGACTTTAATGTAAAACTTTTACAATTCAAAGCCGATTCTCCTCTATAGCAAGATCACGGAAACAAAAGAACTAACCTTTTGTCTTACACTAAAAATTCTCATCCTTTTATACTGTAAATTTACAACCCTCTACCTTGATGAAAATCTGTAACATTTATGGATTGCTTCATTTTGAAATTAAATATGAAATTTTACACTATCATCATGAACTTAATTATGAAATGCATAATGAACTTTTTACGTTTTTGGTCCAAATAGCATCTTTAATTGTTCGCAGGGATGGATGTAGGGCGGGGGGGACTAGCTGGGCTGTAGTCCCCCCTCTACGAGGCCCAATTAATATTTTTTTAGGGTGATTTCACCCTTTATTTTGGTAAAAACAGATTTTTAATGTGTAATTTTTTTTTTCACATATTAGCCTAACTTGAAATTTTTTAATTCGATTTTGAATTCAATCCTGAATCTATCCTTGATCATTTGCATGGTTTTCTAATTTGAAGATGTTGACACTAGAAAGTTTAGAGCACCCAATGGCATCATGGATGTAAAAGTCTCATTTTGATATTATTGGGAATGAGCATAAGTTTGTGTATGCTAGAAAGATTGTAAATATTCTTTCATTGTCGACGTTAGTTACACAGAAAATGAAGCATAACACAACTAATGTCTAATGTTGTCACCAGACAACCATTTGACTCGAAAATTTCGAGGGCATCAATATAACAAATAAATCATGTTATAAGTACAAAATTTTTTAACAAAAAAATTGTACAAACAACACATGACGTGACATCATTGAAAAATACAAAAAAAAAAGGGAAAAAAAACAATTCACTTACATTTTACCACGTGCATCAATACAAGTTTTGTTAAATGTTTCCCATACTTTTGACTTTATTGATAACAAATTATCATATAGTGCCATGTGGAGCTTAGCTTTTTAGACAAAAGAGATTTTAGCCCTTATTTGTCTTCTATTAAATCAAAATGATTTCTCAAACTCATTTTCAATCATACATTAACGTAATAAAATATTTTCTATTTTAATAAAAAAAATTCCTTCTTTTTTAGTCACACGTTCTCCAAAAAATCACTATTTCAAAATTCATTTATTTTTTTCCAAAAATTCATTTTAACTGATGACAAACGGGGCTTAATTTATATTTTCAGCAGAATTCAATATTTTCTGTGTCTTAAATACATGTAGTAGATGCACAAATACTTGCAAGTAATTGATAGTGATTGTTGATGAGGCTTAGAAGTAAATCTTGAAAAAACATCGAAACAAAGTTTGACTTTTTGCAAATCGGATTAGTCAATTCAACTGAAATTTTGAAAATTGCACCAAAAATTGGTTTGACTGGCTTTGTTTGTTTACTGATCACATTATTTTTTTTACAATAGTCATTTTCAATCATACGTAGTTTATTACATTAATATTACACAAATCAGAAATTTTCCTTCTTTTATAATCACACATTTCAATATAAATCACTATTTCATAATACATTATTTACGGCTAATGGGGGTACAAACAAGCACCTAGATCGCGTTCCTATCACGGGTTTGTTCACTCCCCCTTCATATCTTTTAGGTTCTATGCTTCATATTTGAATCAATTCTCTTAAAAGTAAAAATTGGAGTCCTCAAACACACCATCCCCATCATATAAATACAAGCAAAATTCATCTTTGCCTATTCATTAACTTACAATTTCTATCTAAAAACCACAACTAGATTAGAGAAGAAAAGCTGAAAATGAAGGCAGCTATGTTGAGATCTGTACTCAGGAGGAGCTGCTCCGCCACTCCTCCATCGGCATCCCACGTAATGCGGCGCGGCTTCGCATCAGACTCTGCGCCGGAGCGAAAAGTTGCCGTTTTGGGAGCTGCCGGTGGGATCGGACAACCGTTGGCTCTGCTCATGAAGCTCAACCCTCTCGTCTCCAAGCTCGCTCTCTATGATATCGCCGGAACTCCTGGCGTCGCCGCTGACGTCAGCCACATCAACACCAGATCCGAGGTCTCTCTCTCTCTCTGTATATCACAATTTCTGTTTCTAGTGTAATTATTACCTTATTTCTGTTTTTATTGAGTTTCATTTGTATTTGTTTAGGGTTTTGGGCCACCTATTGTCTCCTCTCACTTTTAGGTTTTGGATCAATTTGGATTTGTTTATTTCAATTTTGTGCTATATCTTTGTTGCAATAGTTGAAAATGATTGATTACACTCCCAAAGAAGTAGGGAGACATCAGAGTGTGGTGTGGAGAATGAATAAACGTTCTTTTTACCCTTTACTTCCAATATTTGAAATGACAAAGTAGGTAGATACTTTTTTGTCTCTTCAAGATGTCAAATATATTTCCTCGTGAGAAATGATATCTCTTATTAAAAATTTGGATTGTGTCTATTCAGAGAGTTTCATTTGAAACAGATGTGGATTCTCTAGATTTAATATGGAAGCTTAGATGACTAATTAAATGATCCCGTGGTCTTGATTCATAGTAATTTCCGTATCAATACTAACATCCAATTTCATTTTCATTTAATTTGGATTGGAAGTTGCTCTACACCACCACCTGAGTTTGTGGAGGAAACATAATTCTAAAATAGTTTTTCAAGAAAACTAGCATGCTTGTGTTTCCTCGAGTATCAAACCTCACACATTCTAAATTCAATCATGATTGTTGCCGTATTGAATATTTGGTTGTTATGTCTGTTGTTTTGAGGTTTGTTCCTCTTAAGCTTCGTGCTACACATATACTTGATCTTCATATGTCTCATTCCAATAGCTTCATAATCTATGAAGCTGTGTGCTTTTTTTTTTTTTTTTTTCCCTTTCCTTCAGTATATTGCATGTCTTTTTACTTTTTATTCATGGTTCGAAATATAAAACACCCATTTTCTTGAATATTACATAGGTTGCTGGGTTCATGGGAGAAGACCAGCTGGGGCAGGCTCTGGAGGGATCTGACATTGTCATCATTCCAGCTGGTGTACCCAGAAAGCCTGGCATGACTCGTGATGATCTCTTCAACATCAATGCTGGAATTGTTAAATCTCTTTGCACTGCAATCTCCAAGTATTGCCCCAGTGTGAGCCTTCCTGCTTTCAAGTTATTGGATTTTTCATGGCTTCTCTTTACTGAAATGTTCCATAACTGTATACTTCTTCCAAAACCAGGCCCTTGTCAATATGATTAGTAACCCTGTGAACTCCACTGTACCAATTGCTGCTGAGGTCTTCAAGAGAGCAGGAACCTACAATGAGAAGAAACTATTTGGCGTGACCACACTTGACGTTGTTAGGGCCAAGACATTCTATGCTGGCAAGGCCAAAGTCAATGTGGCAGGTGTGTGTACATATCTTTACTTGCTCATTCAATATTGCTTGTTAATCTTGAATTATATTTTTCATATTGAAATTTCTGTTCACTGCCTAAATTTTCTGCCTCTTTCTTGCAGAGGTCAATGTACCCGTTGTTGGTGGGCATGCTGGCATAACCATTCTCCCTTTGTTTTCACAGGTACTTGTTTTTTTTTATTTTGTTTTTTTGGCTTGTTATATTTTTTGTCTTATTTTTTCAAGTTGGCACTAGTGCGCTTCATTTAGACTTGCAATATTTGGTTGAACATTTGATAATAGGCTACACCAAGAGCCAATTTGTCAGATGAGGAAATTAAAGCTCTCACAAAACGAACTCAAGATGGTGGGACAGAAGTTGTCGAAGCTAAGGCAGGAAAAGGTTCAGCTACGCTATCAATGGCGTAAGTATCAACTATTCTATTTTTTCTTTCGAATTTTCAGTGCAAGGTATTTGGTCAACTGGCGGTTTAGAGATTGAAGCTCAAATTTGAAAGGAAGAGGCTATTTCTAAATCCTAGATGACTTAGTTGCTGATTATGCTATTCTATGTACAGTATACACACAAAACTCCTTGTGCTACTATGGCACGATCAATTTCCTTTTATTTCTTGATTAGTGTGTGCCTTGATGTGAACATCATCCAAATGCATGACAAACTGAACCTACTCTGTAGAAAAGATTTTTCCAATTTTTCGGTCATAGCAGACAATTTAAGCTGGGATATATGTCAAAAGCAGCCATTGAATTTGATGCTGGTTGTTAACTGTGATTTCTTGCTAATGACTTGTCAAATTTGATTAAGTAGTCCTAATGAAGCACTGATTTTTATGCAGTTATGCTGGGGCTATATTTGCTGATGCCTGCTTGAAGGGACTTAATGGGGTCCCAGATGTTGTCGAGTGCTCATTTGTGCAGTCAACCGTCACTGAGCTACCTTTTTTCGCATCCAAGGTAATGGAATCGCAACGGTACTTTTTTGGTTCCTCAATGAGAAGCCATATGAGTACAATGGTTGTTAATGGGTAAAACCTCTGGTTGTCAGGTTTTCACATCTTTTGAGTCATGTAATAATTTTTTTTGAATGAATCACACCAGCAGACTTGTTGGACAAATATCATGCGTGTGCCTTTTTGTAAAGCCTTAAAATCAGCACATTTTGTGATATTGTGTGAAGCCATGTTGTCTGCATTGTTGGCTGGCTAACATACATATGTTATTTCTTGAGCTTAATTGAGGATATCAAATTTATCCGATCATTGGTTATTAAACCTCGTGTGTGCTGTTAAGTCATTTATATTTTCTAATTCTGGTTGGCCTGCTTAATTTTATATGGGCACGAGATTTCCCTCAAAACAATTTCCAATATATGTATTTATAATTCATAATTCTGCATATAAGGTTCTGGTTGTTAGCTATTTACCAATTAGTAATTATGAAAATTGTCTTGTTTCTGCTTCCAGGTGAGGCTTGGGAAGAACGGTGTTGAAGAAGTCCTAGGCTTGGGCCCACTCTCTGATTTCGAGCAACAAGGACTAGAAGCTCTTAAACCCGAGTTGAAATCCTCTATTGAAAAGGGTATCACGTTTGCCAACCAGAGTTGAAATGGCTCACCCAAATCCAATTCTAATATTAAGAAGTCGAAACAATTTTGCACATCTTTGGGTGGTGTATTTTCTGTGTATCCTGTTACACAGAGGGATAAAATATAGCTACTCTTGAGTAGTCTTATAGAATATTCTCAAATAATACCAGCAACATAAATAAACTGTGAGGTACTTACTTATTTGGAGATATAACTATGCATCCCATGTTTCTCATTGGTTAATGCACTTTAATTGATCATTCGTCTGCAATGTTTAGGACTGGACAGTATCATTTGCTTTTGAATTCCTTTTTCAGATTATTTTATTTTATTTTTTGTGATATATAGTTTGACTGTTCTGTTTTGCTAAATTCTGATGGATGTATTGTCACTATTGTATAAAAAAAAGGCAATGTATTGTTACTGTAGAAAGAACAGTAGATTCTTATATATCTACACTCTGTAGCAATTTTTTTTCTGGAGTAAAAATGACGCCGTCTGCCCTTCCAGTAGCAATTTTTTTATGTTTAATTTTTTACATCTCTGAAGCCAAGACGAGGCTGTTTGCGGACAAAAAAATAAATAAATAAATAAATAAATATATATATATATATATATAAGCTGCAGTGATGTACTCACTTTAGATAGATTTTTCTTTCTTCTTCTCCATTTTTACACGCTACTTCTTTCTCTTTGAGTTTCATTGGTTCATTTCTTTTTTCCATGTATGTATATGTATACTATTTTTGTTTCTATTATATTTGGGATATCTATATTTTGTGCTTCAATCATTGCGCTTATATTGTATTTGTTCTCTTTGTTTGTTCGACCGTTGACGCATGTTCTTTTGGCCTTATTTTAGTTTGCAGGTAGTGGTGGAGAATGTTTTCAATTTTTCTTTAGTTCGTGGTAGCAATAATATCTAGAGGTTTTTCCTACGATGATTAATGAGGGGGAAATCTATTTTCATATGATTTGATTTTTCATTTTTCTTGTATAGTGTTGAACTTGGATGTTGATGTTGATTTGTTGTACACAAACTCTGGAGTAAACTGGTAAAATAAGAGAGTAAATAGAATTGGGCGTGGAAATAACAGAATAGAATTACATGAAAATAATTAGAAGAAAGTAAAGATGTCTCATAGACGTGTCAAACTTCTACCAACATGGTCTTTTTTGTAGACGATGAACGTTGGGGGTTCTCTGTTCAAAAGTTCGAAAACACATGTATCGCTCATTTGTAGTTCTTTTTCTCTAAAAAAATCTGCCCAACCTATAGTCATATGTCTTATTAGACCATTAGGTCGCAAATTTGGGGCGAGTTCCCAGTCGTGATGTAAAGAATCATGGATTTGAACACTTCGCAGGCCTTTTGGTAGATGATATCTAGAGAACTGTCCTGGTATATCCTGGAAAATTATGAATGAATAAATTATTGATCTTTAAATGAAATTTATGTGGAAGAGATGAATGTAGAATGAGATATTAAAGATGACACTTACAATTTCCCGATGACTGTTGTGATGAGGTGTTAGTGTTATTTCAAATGCAGGGTTATCAGTATGTGAAACGTTGTATTTTTCGGGAACATCGGAGTCATATGTGACTTCTAATTCAGAATAGTCAAATATGGTCATATTAAATGTGAAGTTTTCGTTATATTCAAATACCAAAATATGAGCATCCTGTAAGTTATGATGGTCAAAAAGTTGTTCCCATCCATTGACAAAATATATTCTTCCATTATCTCTTTCCAATCAAATTGTGACAATTATACCATCATATGCAGTTACTCGTACTATGTCACCAAGTTGGTGTCTCCAATCGTTGACAAAGGATCTGGGAAGCAGCTATACATATACATTAAAAAGTATAAGAGAGATATTAAGAATGCATCTATTCAAATGTGAGAGGAGAAACTCTTGTGTGACTAACCAAACGGGTATTATAGTTTTGTGGAGGAGTAATGATTCTGAAGAAACGATGTGACACCTCCATTCTATTTCAATATAGTACAATGAAAATTTTGTTAGAATAACTCTATTATTTACTTTGTGGAGGCCCTAATATAGATTTTAAGGTAGATTTTGCAGTATAGGCGAGTTAGAAAGTTTGTTAATGGAAGTTCCATGTCTATAAGATAAATTTTGTATGTGATCTAAAAAAATATATTCTATATGTCGGTGTAGAACAATATCGTGAAGTTTGGTAAGAAATTCATGATTCGTGTTCGATTTTTAATAGAAGAATTGAAGATTGATATTTAGTCCATCTCAATAAACAAGATGTAAGTTAAAACTGTAAAATTTAGTGTTGAAAAAATAGCTATGGTAATTAGGAAAGAGTAGTTAGACACCTTATTTTCTTTTTGTTGAGCACCTGCAAGTGAAGATATGTAAATATTTTATGTAAGGAGTGATTTAAGGTAAATTTTGAAAACATGAAAAGCTATTTAAATTAGAAGATATGTACTTCTTATGTTTTTTCCTTTTCTCTAGATTTCACAATAGGTTTACGGGTTGTAGAAATAGACAATATGTTACCAAAAAAACCTAATCTTACTCTTCCCAAAAATAAAAGTGAGGAGAAAGAAATTATTGAAGTATCACGTGAGTAACTATTTTATCTTAACTCGTTTCACACATTATTTGATTGCAATCAAAATGTTACGATTGAAAATGTAATTAATATATAATATGTCTATTATTTATCTACATTTTTACTCATTGGATTTATATAATATTTGTATATATAAAAAAAATGATTTATATTTTATGTATTTATTTTAGGAATCACATCTATTAAAAAAAACTAAGTTGATTAAATGAAATTAAATTTTGATGCAGAGAGTCGATAAAGAAATAAGAAAGGGGGAAAAAATGAAATTTGTTAATTACGGAGGCAGTTTGAGCCTCCATAATTATGGAGGCACTTTGATGCCTCCGTAATTACGGAGGCTTTGCCCTTTGAGCTTCCGTAATTATGGAGGCATTATTTTTTTCCCCTCTTTTTCTCTTAACTGTTATTACAACAAATATTTCAATATTATTTTTTTGTTTTGTCCAACGTAATTTTATTACTTAATATGGAGTTATATTTTAGTTTAAACATGAGTTTCTTATTTTGTATGAAATTTAACTAATAGTCGGACTCTCTTAACGTTATTTTTAAAATTTTGCAATTTCTATTTATGTGATGATAAAAATTTATAATTTATAATATAGAAATAGAAAAATGAATAAGTATTAGTTTTTTTTCTTCCAACTATAATACTTAAGTGAGTATAATTTATTCATTTTCCTGTCTATGTCATTGTCCTTTTACCTTTTGAACGAAAACGTCGTTGTTTTCGTTTCGTTCGTACAAGCACCTTGTCTTTGTCCTTATTTTCATCATACATTTCCCATCCCTCCCATCCTTTTGTTTTCTCCCTATTTTCAATTGCGTGTATATTTTGTTCAGCGATATTTTATTTAACGATAGACTTGTTGTTGGTGGGTTTTTTTCGATATATTTCCTATTGTTCGAGTCATTGAAATGTATGCATTTTTTTGGCTTCTTTTATATGAGGATATTGTTTTCAATGTGCATACTCTTAGTTATGTTTCCAATTTTATTGAGTTGATTTTTGTGGTTTCTTTCTTTTAGCAATACAATGAGTAAGCAATATTGGACACCTACATCTGTACAATTTCAAGTTCTTGAATCTATATTTAATCAAGAGAATAAAACCCCAAACAAGTCAAGGATCATGCAGATAGTCTCCGAACTATCGTTATATGGGCAAATCTCTAATATGAATGTTTATAATTGGTTTAAGAGTAGACGTGCTCGTTTAAGAAGGCTGGACCTATCCACACAGGCACACAATTTTGAACTTGTAATTCAGCCAAGGGTACAAAAAGACAAATTGCGTAAGAGATATATAGGTACGATTTGTTGTTTAAATGTGATTTTTTGTTGGTTTAATATTTTTACGTAATTTTAACATAAATATTTGGTATTATAGAAGTATCTACAATTTTTACACATATGCCAGGAAGAATGGTGAGATGTTGTCCTAAATTCACACCAGGTTTCGTAGATTGAATATTTTTTTTTATAATTTTTTTTCATCCGGCTATTTATTTGGTCATGTTGTAGTACATTTTTCTTTCATCTTGTTTTTGTGAAATTATTTTTTAATCCAATTTCTGCACTTCTGTTGTCTTTCAACGATTTTATACTAATTTTATGATTCTAGATTATATTAATCATGTCGAATTACAGAAGGATCTTCATGTTGATGAAAACATTGGTGTGGAAAAGCAATTTGAAGATGACAATATGCAATCTCAATGTGGTTCACATGTTCCTATCATTTTAGATCGTTCGAAGAAAATTGATATACGAAATATTCTAGTTGAACCTTATATTCTTCTGTCTTGTACAATTTGTAAACATTGTGGTGCAAAAAAAATTTTACAAAGAAAATAAGAGTTTTTGTTGTTGTGATGGAAATGTTAAATTACAGCTGAACAGTATTCCCCCTGAATTGTATGAGCTATTTACTTCTATTTCATGTGAAGCGATTGCTAAAAGTTGCTCGTACTTACAACAACCATTTTGCATTCACTTCATTTGGTGTTAAATATGATAAAAATTTGTGCAAAAATAATAGAGATGTATATACGTTCAAAGTTCAGGGACAGGTATACCATTTTATAAATCCACTTCTACCAACTGATGGAAATTCTACATATTTGCAGTTATACTTTTACGATACTTATAATGAAATTAGTAATAGACTACAAATTTCAGATAGGTTAAGTGAATCAACTTTGAAAAAGTTGATAGCTATCTTAAAGATAAATCCATATTGTCGTTTCTTTCGATCATTAAGTGAAGTTTCTGATTTTGATTCATGCTGTATCGTACTGAGGTCTGATCCGGGTCTCGACCAGAGAGTATATAACATGCCACCATGTGAACAGGTGGCTGCAGTGTGGGATGATGATGATCCATCTGCAAGCATAAAGACTCGTGATATATTGATTTATGAACATTCCAATACTACACATAGAGTAAATTACTATTATGGCTGTTATGATCCACTTCAATATCCATTAATATTCACCTATGGAGAACCTGGATGGCATGAAGGTATCGAAAAGGTAAATTTGAATACTTCAATAGTTCATGAAGATTTCATACAAATCAATCACATTGATTCGGCCGAACAACTTATAGGGATGGAAGATCGTGGTAAGTTTTATTACCATTGAAAATTTTTAATATTTTTAGAGTGCATAAATGTATTGTCATTTCTAGATCTATCTTTGTGACTTTAATTTTTTTTTCCTT